GCTAAAAGTACGAGTCCATGGGGCGAAACAGCGCCAAAAAGAAAGTGAAAAAGATGGAAGTCATGCGAAAAACAAGAGATAAAGTATAGAATGAGGCCCTTAGGGCACCCACAATGGCATATATTTGGCAATGGCTTCACAATGTTAGAAACTAGTGCCAAAGCCCAAAAAATGAATCTGAAATACATTGTGGGTGCCCTAAGAGCCTCATTCTAAAATCGAACGACAACTTCCTATCTAAAAAGAGCATCCATTAGCAGCACTAAAAGTACGAGTCCATGGGGCGAAACAGTGCCAAAAAGAAAGTGAAAAAGATGGAAGTCATGTGAAAAACAAGAGATAAAGTATAGAAATAAGGTCCTACCGGGATTCGAACCCAGGTCGCCAGATTCAAAGTCTGGAGTGCTAACCACTACACCATAGAACCTGCTTGATTAGTTGGAATTTTTAGCGTATTAGTACGGAATGTTCATCAGAAGTATTGGTTGCACACGCCCAAGCATCCTTGCACTAAGCTGATTATGGCTCTAACTTACCGACAAAAACAAATACTGATCTTCTGTTTGCTTCTTGTTCTTAATAATTTGTCTTCTATATTCTAGAGTATATGAATTTTTTTTGTCTCACACTATTTTCTTGTGAAAAAACTTCCGATCTATTTTTCATCAATCACGACAGTACAACAAATATCACAAGTAACAAAAATTACATCAAGATCTCTCTGAAATTTTTTAAAGAGAAAGGAAACTGAAAATATAAAATTATGAAAATAGATAAAGCCAGCTGTGATTCATGATTGGAATTCTTCTTTATCAGTTCTCTTACTTCACTCTCAATACTCTGCCTTAGGATGTTTGACCGTCACTTGTATGATTCTTCTAATATGGTAGAGCCATGCAACTGGAAATTAGTACTTTTGAGTGATGGGTCCTGTATAAATCAACACATGAATCACGGAAGATCAAAATCGATCATTGCAGAAGGAGTACCATCTGGTGTTATGATTAGTGGATGTTGCTATCGCGGCCGCTCCAATCTCTCAAGTCACGCAATATGCAAACTAGACTGATTACTCGTGCACTTGCACGGCTAGGTTCTGCGTACCATACGGACAAGGACATGCATAGACATCCAAG